GCTATGTAACAGAAAGCGTTGCCGGGTCCCTAGGTGCATAAGCGAAGCCTATTTCTATTTGAATTTAAAGAATCGTTTATTGTAATATTCTGAGCTGCTACCCATACACACATTGAAAAGATAATAATAATATCAGTTATTGTAGGCCTACTTAAAAAGAAAAACACACACACGACGTGAAGTCAGACTCACGGACTCTAGTGGGCCTCTGAAAGCGACATTAAGTGTTCTTCTATAAAATTTTCTTCTTTCATTTCCTTTCTTGCCCTTTAACCATGTTCTGTCCTCTGCCTGCATCTCTAAGTTCTTTCCCCACCTCCACCCCCCTCTTTTGCCCCTCCTTTGGGCTCCCAACTCTTTCCGCAGCCTTTCTACTGCTTCTCCTTGGCTCCTTCTTACTGCTGTCTTTCTGCCACACCCCTGATCTTATGGTAGGTAAGATCTACACCTAGCCTTCTCAGACAAGGGTCAACAATCTCGGAGGTCCCGTGTGCAAATTGAGCACGTTAAAGATCCCTTGGTGGCCCCAAATCGATAAGAATAGGCTTCGGCCGCCACCCAGGCAAAATTCAAAGTCGTGTGTCCGGCGAGCTCATATGACCTTACGCAGTTGCGAGCTTCGTAACCCCCCCCCCCCCCAAAAGATAACTGATTATTCCGTTAATAAAAATAAAAGAAACACGCGTCAAGTCCTTTTTTGTGGAATACTTCATACCGTCCAGGCTCGCACAAGTTCTGCCCCCCACGGGGCAGTGTCACTGACTGAAGTGTCTTTAGGCCATTCCCAAAGGGGGGACATTTCTCGTTCAAGCATAGCAGAATTGTAAATGGGCTGACTCGTGTCACGCTCATAACTGTGCCTGATCTACAACAGGGAACTGCTGCTTTTTCTTTCCTGATCCTTACTATTGTCATTTTCCTCTACTTCTTGTGTATGTTTGTCACTATTTTGGGGTGCCTTGATAGTCGAAGCAGACCTTGTGCTGTTGAAGCTAGAGAGGTGAGCAGTCTAAGTCTGATTCCCTGTAAAGACTTCTCTGTTGACACCCACCCCTTGGCGCTCATATGACCTTATGCAGTTGCGAGCGTCGTAAAACCCTCTACTATAAAAACAAAAAACAAATTCTGCTTACAGTGGGCCCCTGCAGGTGCGTTGAGTTGGAGACCCTCGTCATTGATTGTGCACTTTAAAGCATTTACTGCTCACTGTTATGGTACTGGTTTAGTAAGAGTCTTACGGCACTTGCAACTCACTAAGGTCATATAAGTGCTGAAGATTAGAGATGTTACAAGAGAGTAAGAAACACAAGAAAGAAGGAGGAGAGATAGGGACTATAGATGTTTGAAGGGAAAGAAGGAGCAACCCACACTAGAGCATCCGCCAACCACCCACATTATTATGGTGCGCACCATACTTTTTGTTGAGACGTGAAGGAAATAGGTGGAAAGTGCAGACCGCTGTCAACTGTAGTGAGATTGGTGTTTTTGCCTTGCATTTGGGTGCCCGTGGTGCGCATGCTTCGTAGAAAAGTTTATAAGAGAGCGAAGAGCACTGGTCAAGACTGGAGTACGATTGTCTACGATTAGATCAGTACCACTAAAAAAATTAGACTAATGCGCTCACTGGTCATCTCAATATTTTAATACACCTGCGAGTCGTGGACACTAACAGCAGAATTAGAGAAAAAATTAGAGAAAAAGATTCAGACCACAGAGATGAGATGTTGCCGTAGACTCCTTGACATCTCGTACAAAGACCACGTTTCAAATGCTGAGGTACGAAAGAGAATCACCAACGCAGTGGGGCAATATGAAGATCTACTGACCACAGTGAAGAGACGAAAATTAAAATGGTATGGGCATGTCGCAAGATCCACAGGAAGTTCCAAAACAATCCTGCAAGGAACCGTACAAGGACAGAGAAAGAGAGGAAGGCAGAGAAGGAAATGGGAGGACAACATTACAGAGTGGACAGGAAAGACGATGGGTGACAATCTGAGGAAAGTAGAGGACAAAAATAGATGGCGAGAGCTGGTTTTCAGATGCAGTGGTGCCCCAACGGTTGCCCCAACCACGGGATAGATAGATAGAAGAAGAAGAAGATCAGTACTTGTAATACATACATATACCATAATCTACTTACTTTATTTTAAAATATTTTTCCGGCTTCTGATACCTTGTGGTGTCGAGGAGAGAAGCAAACGTCTGTCTCTTGTTTGTTGTATCGCCTGTTGCATAGTTATGTTGCTATTGACGAATAATTGTGAGGCAGCGTGGTGGAATCAGGCTCTCGTCAATTTTTGGGCATGTAAAGTTATTGGTACCATCTTAAGGCTTGTTCACTTGTATTTATTTGGATGAAAAAATATCAATTTAACTTGAAAGCAAGTCGAGATATTTGCGATTGAAGGAGGTGGGGGTCACCTGTTTTCAGAGGTAAAATTAGTGAGAAAATGGCCGTCAAAGATTAGTTATTTCCTTATCTTAAAAGTCTGTGGTAACTGAAAATTTACATTTTTTGTGCCTTTAATCAACGTTTTTCAGAAAAATCCACAAAGAAATTAGTTTTTTTTAATGGGCATGAAAGGTGTCGAGCCCCCCCCCAAAATTTAATAAAAGTTCACAAACCTGTGGAAAAATGCAAGTTTCTTCACTTTGATTTTTTTGACGAGAGCCTGATTCCACCACGCTGCCTCACAAATTATTTTTCCGGCTTCTGTTACCTTGTGGTGTCGAGGAGAGAAGCAAACGCCTTTCTTTTGTCTGTTGTATCGCCTGTTGTATGGTTATGTTGCTACTGACGAATATTTGTGAGGCAGCGTGGTGGAATCAGGCT